TGCAGCAGAACTCTCCTGTGGAGCAGCAGGGAACAAATATTACTAATTCTGTTGATGAAATCATACAAGGAATGAATAACCAGAAGAGAGAAAGGCTTCTGGAATTGATGAAATTCAATTGAAACGCTCAAAGCAAAAGGCGAAGAAAGGAAGTCCTGGCCTTCACGTGTGTATGAAACTGCAATGGGTAAGGGAAAAGCACCAATGGTCTGGAGAACTGGGTTGCTGTAACTCTATTCAAGAAGGGAGACGATAGTAGTGCTCCAGTTATTGGGGAATTGCCTTATTGAGCTTCCCAGGTAAAGTCGTGGAATAAGTGCAAGAAAGGAGGTGCCGCGGAATAATTGACAAAAAAAAGAAGAGCACTGTGGTTTTCGGCCCGGCCAAAGCACCTCTGACCGTATATTTGTCCTACGTAAGATTGTTGTAAAATCAGAAGAGCCGTCCGATGAATATATGGTTTGTTCATTCATAGAGCCTATGGTCAGATACCGCTTAAGAGTCTGTGCACATGAAAGCGAACATGTGGGATCTATGGCCAGTTGCTACTGTCCATCCGTTAACTATATGCTGATAGCAGATGCTGCGTCAGAGTAAATGTCGTTAAGTGGAACACTTTCAGTGCTGGCACAGGTCTCGGAAAAGTCTACTTTCTGTCCCTTCTCCTGTTTGTGTTGTACATGGATAGAATATTCAGGCGCAGTTAAAGCGATGAGTGTAAGAGATGTGGAGACACGAGTATTGCTGTCTGCAGACGACAATGTTTTATTGGCATCTTCTGAAGCTGATATGCAGTTCTCCCTAGAAAGGTTTATAGCCGAGTGCGACGTGACCGATATGCATGTGAACGCATCTAAAATGAAAAGCCCAGTGCTTGTTCGTTCTCCTGCCCGCTGCTCTCTTCCTATCAACGGAGAGGCAGTGGAGGAGGTAAAGAAGTCTAAGTGCCTCGGAGACGTTTTTACTAGTGATGGAAAATTTGAAGAGATTTACCGGCGAATTGGAACATCCTATGCCGTTCTACGTGCATTAGGCCGATCGAACGTGACTAAATCACAGTTCAGTCTGAGAACTAAGCTCTCGTTATTCAAGTCGATCTTTATCCCCACCTTTACCTACGGTTTTGAATGATGGCTCACGATTGAAAGTCTTCGATACCGGGCACAAGCGGCTGAAAAGGGCTTTCTAAGACGAGTCGCTGGATATGATCCGGAATACAGAAATTCGCGAAAGCCTTGGTGCAGATTCGCTGCTTCCTTCCACTAAGATGTCACTGCTGCGATCGTTTGGCCACGTCTTGCGATTGCCTCCAGAAAGGAAGGCTAAACAACTGCTCCTTGGAAAACCGATCGGCAGAGGGCCCAGGGGACGGCCAAGATTAACCTGGTGCAAATATATGTAATGAGCTTGTTCCAGACTGCAGTTCTTTTCCGTCAGCGCTGTCATTAAAGCAGAGGACAGGGAATGTTGAAGGCACTGTATGATGCGTCTGCCTCCGTGACCCGAAAGGAGAAGCATTAATTGAAAATGCAGATCAATGAAGAAAACTTACGTGCAGGTGGTGGATAAATGGGATATCGTGATTATAAAATCTCCTCTCAGGAGTCTAGTTTACTCCACGTACTTGACATGGTGGAGCGGCAGATTGTGGCAAAACAACAGTCAGGTGACCTGGGAGCAATTTAAAGGAACACAGATATGCCCCTGACTATCGTACATGTTTCTTAAAATTAAGTACTCTGACTAAAGTTACGACTAAATATTTATGTGTAAATACATGCAATGTGTCATCAAGGCTGCCAGCGTGGGAGAGTCCCTAAATATGTGTTCTGAAACGTCGGGCTAAGTGCTACGGAGTGGTCAAAACGATGTTCATTGAAAGTATTTCAATGAAGTACAAGCGCTTTTTCAACAAGATCCGAATCTGACACAGTAAATTGATTTCTTAAAGGAATTATGAATGTGGAAAAATCTTTCAGAACTATATACGAGCCAGTTTTCACCTGTAACTAAACATGCAAATCGTACAGTGAAAGAACATTTTCCGGTCACAATCCGACAGTCTTCGTTCGAACGATCGCTGTTGATGCAGTTCAACCGGTTCATCGCAATAAAGTTAAACAAAAACAAATGATTTCTTACAGTGCGGCAAATTCGCCCTGGGAAAAGAAGTCTATAAATGTTGGAATGTCATGCCTTTCCACATTCTCGTGACTGGGCAATTTTCAATCAGTTGCACTTTTTCCAGGAAGGTCGTTTCAGCATTTTTTTCGTTGCTGTTTCACCAGCCAAGTGTGACGAACTGCAATTCTTCTTTTAAGATTACAGCTATAGCTAAGCGGTCACTGTGCTTGTAGTTTTGTTTCATTCTTATGAGGCAACACTTGTAAGTATGAAAGTCGATTAACCCGACTATTCAAATATTAGTTCGATGATGTACGGACTGAGCTATGCCAGACATAGCCGATCTGACCATAGATTTGTAAATTTATTTGTTCATAACAGTAAATGGCAAAATGATGCAAGCAGTCAGACATTCAACACTATTCTAGGTATGTAAGGACAGGTGAAAAGGTCGGCAGTGAGTCTTCTGATGCACATGCTTAATAGGGCATTTTTGCATTAACAGATAATTTAGCAAAAATTTTTACAACCAATAGTCTATAAAAATTCAAAAAATAACATGCTTCAGAAAAACATAAAATACTTTTAGACATTAATCATGTTTCTCAATCGTATCAAATTTACTAAAGGAGGAATACGAAAACATTTCCGACGTGTAATGAAAAAAATTGACTTGTCTACGATAAATTACTAGTACATCGGTAGACTAGCTGCATGAAATACCACGGAGCGCATTCCAGTTTTCATATAATCAACAAACAAACTTTGCAAAGCATCACAGAAACTGATTCAATTATAACTGTGGTAGTTTTCAACAAACGTATTCTAGATATGGTTGTATTCGGCACTTATTCAAACTTAATATGACATATTTGAAAGAAAACCTTACTGACGGAAAATCATGAACAAAAGACCTTGCTTTTCAGCATAAACCCAGGAAGCAAATAGAAATCTAAGCGAAAATAAATGTCAAACAAAAACAAAATGAGGCAATGTTAAAACTGTAAAAAACCCGTTTGTTCAACAGCAACAAACAAAATAAAATTTAGGAAATTACAAACTTACCACCCAAAAATCCCAAAGACGTGACCAAACTCTACATCGTTCTCACTTCCAATCACACATACTCCACGTAGCAAGTCAGTGTACGAAGCAGAAATCAAACTTGCATTCTGACAGTAATCGGTTTGCTGCAGGTTTTTCAAATTTACTGAAAAGTACACGAATAATATTTCTTATGATCCATGGAGATCAACAAGATGCGACTAGTTGTGTCCCACACAGAAATTGTCAATACCAATCTGATTTAAAGCAATAAAATATCTGTCGTACCAGAGGATAAAAAATTAGCTTTGCTGTAACATTTACGACTGCAATAATGACTTCTTGTCTAGAATTTTCGCGGTAGTGTTCGCATTGAAGAGGAAAGCAT